TAAATCAACATAACTATTAAATATTAAAACATTTGATGGCTAAAATATTTAATGGTTGTAACTTGAAGGTTTATGTTGGCATTTGGAGTTAGAATGAGTGGACGCCGTTTCATAGGTGTTGTATGGAAGCCTTCCAAGTAAAAAGCATTTTACATTTCTTTAGGTGCATGGCTTTCACGCCTAAAGAGTAAAATAGTTTTGATATTTAATTCACTTTCCCAATGCAGCCAAAAACATGCACAGGATCTCCTCTTAATTCTCCCGAAGAAAAGTTCTACAAAATATTTTGTTCTAGGGATCTAGAGTTTTTGCAGGACCAAAGTGAGTGTCTTCCTCTCCCTCCAGCTCCTTCATGTTGGCCCCAAGATAATGCAAGTTTCCTGACTGTTTCTACCCACAAAAAAACCTCGTGGCGGGTGTCCTGTCTGGTCAGGGCTGAGAAGAAATCTTTGATATCATAAACACATGGTGTTTGGCACATAATAGGTGCTTGAGAAACGTTTATTAGAATTTAATTAAAATTCAGGTACAATACCAAATAAAGTTTCAGGAAAGTCTTGCCCGCTTGAGAACCCCAACCTTTCTTTACAGACCTTTTCCATCTCAGTGAACCTGAAAGCCTTTTCCTATGTCTTACTCTATCATTCCTCTGACTCACCACGACCTGAGCTCTGTGGCCATCTTTCCCCCTCAGGTTAGAAGGACTAAGGAGAGTCCTGCTTCTTCTTTGCATGAGAAATAGTATCAAAATCTTGAGATCTAAGGATGAAACCTCCAATAAGGTTTCTCGGAAGCGGTAGGAAGCCTACCAAATGTTGTTCCCGGTTACTATATTTCAGAGTAGCTTACAGCCAACAGTGGTTTTTCTGACAAAGGTGGATATTTCATCAGGGAGAGTTTGGGTTATTCATTATCACTGAGATTTTGACTTGATTATGAGACTTTCGATTCCTCACATCTTGTTTCACTTAATTATTTTTGAAACTACTCTATTTGGAGACGGGTACACTCCTTAGGTTCAAGTCCAGATGAATCACTTAGGAATATGAGCATGAACTGTCACAAATGAACAATGAAAGGGAAGAATTTAGAATTTATTTCCCTCTGCTACGGTATATGTTGGTGAAGTTAAACATTCTCTTCTTATGGAGCTCAAACGGTAAGTCACAGTGCCTGATTTCCTTGTGAAGGACAATTTAAGCTGAATAAATGATTTTGCATTTAATAATATTAAATTATTAACTATTAAATGGTTTTTATGATATATTATCTGAGAGTAATAATAACTGCCTCCTGTATGCTAGATACTACACTACGTGCACTACAAAATTCATTCAGTTTTAAGAAGACTCACATAAAAACTACAATTCTCAGGTGAGGAAACCATGTCTCAGAGAAGCTAGGTAACTTATCCGAAGACACACAGCTAGTAGAAGACTTGCTACAAGTTAAAACGAGGGATGAGTCTGTCTTGAAAACCCTGGTTCTGGCAATGACAGAGTCACTGCATTGCTGTTGGAGGCTCCGTTTTATTGATAAAAAGACTGACATCCAGGGAATTCAGCTAAACTAGCTAAAAAATCGGGCAGAGTTATCCAGTAAAAGGCAGAGTGTGTTCATCTGCTCTTTCTCACACTCTCTCATCTTCCATGCTTTCTCTTTATCGTTTCTTATTTGTCCACAGGTCAAAGGCCCTTTTCTCATTACTTTGGTGAAATTGGCCCTCCACCTAGAGATGGAAACTCTGGGAGACTTGGCGCTATTTTAAAATGTCTTTAGAAATGAGAAATACCTTTGAAATTCAACCTTAATTCAACTTACCATTTAAAATATACTTTGCAGCTCAAGTCTTTGTCATTGGTACTATATAAAAAGAAAAAAGCGTATTGAAATTTTTAAATTATTTAATTACTATTTTCCTTAAAGCTTATAAGCACTTTTTTTTTTGACATATCTCTTAACGGAGTCAAAATACTCTTAAATTCTTATAGCGGTTGGAGGGCTTTTACACAAGTCAAGCTAATTTATATTAAAAGCAAGTGATTTAGGTAGTTTTTGAAAGTGGTATTCTATGGCAGGCTTTTGATTCCACAGGACGACTGATTTGTTGTAAATGTTCAAGTGTTTGAGAATTCCTGGGCATTTTCCAATAAAGTGGGGGCTTTCGCATTGATGGTGGGCCATGGCCACCATCATCTCTTCATCATTGCCCTACTTTTAGGAGGAATGATGTCTGTTAGATTAGAACACTTTTTCCTCTAGGGACTCAGAGTGGACAGAAGAATTTTCAGCAGCTTTTTTCTGATCTTCCACGCAGAAATGCTTTCAAGAGAAGTTACAGTTCAGTTTTTCTGAGTTAACACTTCCTGTCTCATGGATGTCCAGATTATGGGGTTGCTCTGAGGCCCCAAAACAGGGAAAATGGGAAGAAAAAAGGGGAAGTCACTGAATGTACCCTAGCAAATGAAGCTATGCTTTCAGGCAGCTGTGCCTGGAAAGACTTCGTTTAATATTCAGAGCGAATATCCCGGGGGAGAGAATGGTACATGTTTCAGAAATTTTACTGTTTTTCAGAAGGCAGGCAGTCAGTTTTCCTTTTCAACCACACATACGTGCAAAATTCAAGCTCTTCCGGAGAGGCGGCAGCCAGCAACTATTGTTTAAAGTGTTTTAAACAGAATTTGGATGGCTCCTTCTCTTTTGAGTCCGTGCCAAATGACAGAGACCAACACTCATCTTTTTTGTCCTATGAAACTCAGGAAGACACATGAAAGAACCTAAAAACGCATTCCTTAAAGAGACTCTGTCTAGTTATTTTCAATGATTTATACACCCACGTACATGTATATTCCCCCGTGTGCATTTTTTTCTTTTTCTTTTTTCTTTTTTGCCTTTTTACTTGTGTGAAATCAGTAGCTACAAGAACTGAAATCTACTTCTTCGGACTGTGACATTTCGGCAGGTCTCTCGCTGAGAAGCCCAAATGCCTGGAGCCGCACAAACTGTCCTCCTTGTCCATTGACTCACTGCTACTGCCCAGCGCCTCGCAGAGCGCGCTCAAGTAAAAGTTGCCCATCTTTTTAGCCCAGGTTTGAGTCTGCACGAGTGCAGCCGTCCAGCCACGGAGGAGACACGCTGGGCTGCGCGCACCGAAGACCTGAAACCGCGGCCGCCAGCTGCTCGGTCCTCCGCACCGCCCTGCATCCCACCCCCTTTATCTAGAATTAAGATTGCGTTTTCAGCGACAGCAGCAACTACTCTAGCAACCCCTGGGATGTTGACTATGAGTTTCTTATCGACTCGCCTTCACATTCCGTTTTCGGTAATCTAGCTGGCGAGAAGTACGACAGGAGTCCCGAGTCCTATCCACCGCCACCCGGCATCACACGGCGGGGATAGCCTGGGTGCGCCGCAGCGGGGAGGGCGGACGAAAAGATACCCCACCCACACACCACTTCTCCGCCGGTGGCTGGTCGCGCTTTGCGGTCTTTGTCCGCTCGCGCTTCCGCCGGGGCCGCGCACTCCCGCGTCTGGCCAGCAGGTGGCAGAGTTGGTTCACGTTGAGTCGCTGCCCAAGAGAAAGGCGCTTCAACCTCCCCGAGATCGCTCTCCCGTTGGGACCTAGGCTACAGAGGAAAACCCGGTCCAGCCGCGGAGGGAACAAGAGGGGCGACTTCGGGGGAGGGAA